TGAGGGTTAGCAGCCGAATCTTGGAAGGTAGTTGGGAATTTAATAGTCAGGCCTGGGAGTCTGGGGGTCCAGGCAGGGGAAATGCGGCGTGGGAGGGAAGGAGGCATGGAAGAGGGTACACAGATAGATCGGGTTGACTTAGCTGGTTTGGCTGGCAGGGCAGGTGCCGCTGGCCCCCACCCTTACAGTTCCACATTCCAGGTGTAGCTTTCCCGGGACTGTTCTCTCCCTGATACTCAGGGATCAATCATACTCTGTCAAGACGTGAGAGATAAGCTAACTTAACACATTCAGGATGAGATCTTAGGTACAGTGGGAGCATAAAATGTGTGCGCAATGACACTCAGGAGTGAGGAGAGAGGGCTGTGGGAACGAGCACTGTCATCATTACCATCATCATGGATCTCCTGTATCCCAGGTTGGTTCTGAATTCACTGTGTAACTTGAACTAGAATCCTCTTGCCTCTACCTCCTTGGATATAAGCAATAGCTGTTTACACCCAGTTTATGTGGAGCTGACGTTTATGTGGTAAATTCCACCCAGGCTTCTGTCGTGCTGGAGAAGTGCATTACCAACTGAATGATATCCCCAGCCTGGAGATGACTCATTTGGTGCCCAGATGATCAGGTATGCTGGTCCAGGGAACTGGACATTAACTCATTGGAAGAGAGGTCGGCAAGCTTTGTGGCTGCGTTCACCAGTGATGGAAAAAAGAGGAAGAGAGAGAAAAGACAGAGTTCAGGAGATGATACTGCAGAGATGGCTCAGGAGATAAGATCACTGGCTGATCTTCCAGAGGACCTGGGTTCAATTCCTAGCACCCACATGGCAGCTCCCAGCCATCTATAACTCTGGTTCCAAGAGATCTGACATGTTTTGTTTTTTGTTTTTGTTTTTTTTTGGCTTCCAGGGCATAGGCATGCAAGTGGTGTGCAGGCATACATTTGGGCAAAATGGCCATACACATAAAATAAAATAATATATATATATATATATATATATATATATATATATATATATAGAGAGAGAGAGAGAGAGAGAGAGAGAGAGCTCAGGAGGTGATACTGAATCTAGATGCAAAATGGAAAGGCCATGAACAGATGTAGCAGAGATCCTGGGAGGTTGGCCTGGGGTTGTGAGAGAGCTTTATAGTTATTTTTATGATGGAGTCAAGTGCTTTTCTCAGATTTCTGACCTGTAGAGAGGTTCCATCAGTCAAGATAAGGAATGCACCAGAAGATCAAGTCTGGGGAAGACATTTAAATCTATTGCTTCTTAGAGGCAGGACGGACCAGACCACAGAGCAGCCAATACAGTGGCTTGAAGCACTCGTGGAAGGGCAAAGGGTGACTGAATAAGAGTCCTGGGGTGAAGCCGTCTGAAGGAGGCATGGTTCACTCCACCAGATACTTTACAAGGTACCAGGGGCCATAGGGGAAAAGGCAGAGGTGGTCTTCAACCTCAGGGAGCGTCCTTTGCTTCCATTACGACCTGGGACTCAGGTTCAACATGGCTGAAAATGTCTCAGGTTTCTGAGGGTGGCTGCTCTTTGCCTGTGAAGGTTTGTGCTGTTTCCTGGGCTTTCTCTGATGTTTGACATACAAACGAGAACATCTTCCTTCTCTTTATCTTTCTTGAGGTTACTTGCAAGGTTCAAACAGCGTCCTGGGATTTTCTAAACACAATAATCCATTTACCTGTTCCTTTGTTTTGTTTTGATCCTGCCTTGTGCTTAAATATGACATGCTTGATTAGAGTCGTCCAAGCAGGGTGGGGAGGGGTTTGAAAGAAAAGGGGTGAGAACTTGTGGACATGACCAATCGTAGGAATTACAAACTGGAGAGAATGGAGGAAAATTCATATAGCTTTTTTTTTTTTTTCAAGTGAAAAAGGCCCTTTCAAAAGTCATTTCTCTGTTTGCCGTGTGTGGTGCACAGCCGTGATTGTAGTCACTCAACTGCCTGCTAAAACTTATGTATTTTTAAGCTAATATTTAAGGAAATATTCCAGCAGATGTTTAAAATATTCAAGAGATATTTAAGATATTTGAGTATTTAAGAAACATGGATCTGTATGAAGAACCATTAGATTTAATACCTTGGGAATTAAAACTTGGAACAAAAGATATAATTATAAAGTTTGACTTTAATATGCATGTCAGAAGTGCCAACTGGCATTCTATATCATGAAGAATTATAAAATGCTAATTAAGTCAATGATAATATCTTTGTTCCCTATGAGCTTTTATAGAATCCTGTAGAAAGTTCCCATCTGAAGTAGGGAATTTCTTATGGGAAAAATTCCACACACCAGTGGATTCATATATAGAAAGTGTCTTGGGTCTCCTTATTTAGATGTTTTGAAGTTCAAATCTTCTCTGGTCTTATTTTAGTTAATGAAATCTGGGTAATACATTTTGTTTTTTCCACTCAGAAACAGTGGTGTTTGCCTTTTTCTTTTAAATGGAGTCAGAGGAACTCAGAGGGCCTTTCCCAGTTAACCTTGGATTTTCTACCTCTGTCCCAATCCTGGCAGCGCCTTGCATCACTCACTTTGCTTGGGTGTGTGTAGAAGGCCTTTGGTAAAGCAGTCCAGGCCCAAGTTTTAGTACTAAGAGACTTTTTTCCTTTTTTCTTTTCTTTCCTTTCCTTTTCTTTCTTTTTTTAAGAACTGGGATAGGAAGTAAACTTGAATGCAAACACACTAGGAAGAATTTTTACAGTGTTCCCAGTGCAGCCTGTGAGACCTGAGGTTGTCACCCCTCCATCAGTTGGTTCCCATTTGTGAATAGTGTCTCTGTCATTGAACATATGCACTAAATTTTGTTCTAGGTAGAGATGGAACTAAAGTCAGTTTTACAGTCTTGTGGGCAGTGGTTCTAATTAATAAAACCAGTACTTTAGCAAAATATCATGGCTTATAATGAAAGAAGTCATGTGGGTCTAAAGCCTACTGAGGACAGCCCTATTAAGACTCACTCAGAAGCCGAAAATTAATTTCCTGGACTTAACAAAAGGCAGTGGGAAGGCTTCCCTTCCTCATAAGCCTGGAGGGTGGGTGCTTGGCCCTGTGGAGACCTAAGGGCTGTGTGGGCTGATTAACATGTATATAATTAATATGTGCCAACTAGAAAGGCAAAGGCAGTATGATTCGATTCTGCACCGCTGTGAACTGTTTTCTTGCTGTGTTCATTATGCACTTTTCTTTTTTTTTTTGTATCTAGTCTTCTCTGGGCACCACCTTCTTTGGGTGTAGCATCTCCCCTTCCTGTCCTAACAGACACCATCAGGTAGGAAAGCTAGCCCCATTCACATCGGGACTTGCTTCCTGTTCACATCACCGTTTTAAAGACACATTTTTCACCCCATGGTTAGGAACATGGTAAATAATTGAGGCGATCCATCAAGGGACATGTTCCTGATAATGAAAAATTGCATAACTTGGTGCAAGTCAATTAAAAACCACAAACTTCAGATCCTTTTTCTCAGTGAAGATTGATTTATTAGTACAGGAGGCATCTAATACAACAGGCTGGGGGAAGGTGAATCAAAAACTGTTTAAAGTTCTAAAAATGCAGTAAAGTTTGACAATGAACTTGAGTAGGAATTACACAACACCAAAGTCAGTTCTTTGAAATGAAAAAGCATATATTGTTTTCTTTATCATAAGATGTCTGAGACGCCAGGATTTTCTAACAACTTTAGGAATAACATCCTAAATGGATACTTATTTTCCTTCCTGGGTTTTAAATGAACCTTATTCTTTGGTTTTGCCTATACAATAAAACTCTACAAATTACCAAAAACATGCCAGGATATTTTCTTTTGTTAAGCTAAATATTTGCACAAGTAAAACTTTTCTGGGTAAAAGACTTAAAATGTTTTTATTATCTGGCTGCCTGGTTAGGACACAGGCAATATATTCATAGAATGTGGTATCTTCAACTGCATAGATTTTTTTTTTTTTTTTTTGTCATTTAATGGGCAGTGGTTGTATTTAGAAATGTCAAATGCTGCTTGGCCCACTGAAGCAATCAAGGGAAAAATACGAACTCTCAGGAACAGGATCTCCAAACTCCTTTCTTTCGGTGTTTTTTGTATGCTCAATTATAAATTTAAACACCAATCTCTCTTCTAACACCAGAAACACCAAATACTAATTGTTTTCCTTGAAGATTCAGAGTCCAGCAATGTGACTTTAGACTCTGCCTAGCAGCTTAGGTAGGTTCAGCAGTCAGGCATGACAAACACAGAGTCCCAGGGAAGGGCACACGTGATACAGTCCCTCTGAAATTAAACTGCCGAAGAAAAGGAGGACTTGTGCCCTTCTTAATAACAAAGAACGCAATCCTTAGAATTCCTCAGATTTGGAATTCCACCAGTGGTCTAGTGTTTTCCTCTTTATGTGTGAGAAGAATGAGTAATAAAAAAATCAACACAAATCTCATCCAAAGGCAGTCCTTCGACTTTGTAAGGTTCAACATCAGATACATCAAATTCTAAAAACACCACAGACCGGGGAAGGAGATGAAGGCTAAGCATGGTGGTGGCAGGGAGGACATAGGTTTTTAAGAAACCCTCGGTTAATTTTTAACCTGCTTATGTTCATTCTGTTCATTTCTGTTGAGGTATTACCCCTTCAACTGACAGCTAGGGACGGTGACATTTCATATCTCCATAAATGTTTGACTTGGACTTCATAAAAAGTCCCTTGGGTCTATAATACTTTTATTCTTGTATAATCTGAAACAAATCCTTTCCTTTTAAAAATCAAACAGACCACGTTTACACACAGTTCACTATTTACAAAGCACCCAATTAAATCCTACTTAATTCTCCCACTCTAAAAATTCCATCTAACTGGTATGTAAAATACCTATTACATTAAATGTGTGATGTTCACAAACCCTGGAGTTAACAGCTCACCTAGAAAATATGACTTTCCCGGAAGGGAAGGGTCCTAAATCAATTCTATGGTATTAAAGAAATCACACCAGAAGTCACAGTACAAGACAGATAAATCTACTTTTAATTTTCACATGTAAAAGTTACACATCACATGAAATTGGACAGGAGCTTAGTGGTAACTGACATCACTATAGTGAAAATCATTTTTATAAAAAAATAATCTAGATGTGGTCATCAGAATTTTTGGTCTACGTAAGTTAATGTTTGAAGATCGACTTTTATCCCTGCTTGAAGGATTTTCCATTATGCTTTTATTTTTCTTCTACTGATGCCTATTAATATTCTTTGGAGGAAGGAGGGCAGAAAATGTCCGTTTCCAAGAGTTTGTCCTTTGGTAGCAAGCAGAGAACATCTTTCATTTCTATGACTTAAATAATCTGTACAGATATGAAACTTCATGACATTATGCTTTAGTGTGAAATGAACGACAAGCATTTTCACTTCGATAAAAGCAGATTCCGTAGACTCCTTAAAGAGCCAAGCATTTCTCCATCCTATATGTGAAATCACGCAATCTATTTTTTGACCTCAGTTCAAAAGGAAAAAAAACCCACACACTTAATTCTTTATATATTACACCATAAAACCCTGTACTTAAAAACTGATAAGGTATGTTTTCAACATGTACATCTCAAATACAAAGGTTCCCATCTAGGATAAAGAAAACACATCTGGATGGACTCAGACGAGTTTATTTTGTGATTAAACATCTCATGCAGTCATGCAAGACCAGTACCTAAAGCTGTTCCTTCCGAGCCTCAGATACTGGAGACTGGGCAAAACCAAAAACAAATCAACAGCCTGGCCAAACAGAAAACACATTGAAATATTAAGAGCTCTGCAAGGGAGCTGAAAAATAATTTTCCAAAAGAAACATTCCCATAGATTAAAAAAAACACACACATAATATTTACAAAAAATATTTAATTAAAAATATTTTATAATTACAGTAGTCTATTAAAGCGCATATACTTTCTCACACTTTATAGAACATCTCTATATATACAGGGTATGAAATGTCACTCACTTATCTATACAATATGTAACATTCTTGCAGGGAAAAAGTTCCCTGCCCTGTTATAATCATCTATTTTAAACAATAGATGTAAAACAACGTATCTACAATGCTCTGGTATATTAGTAAAGCTTCAAAAACAAAAACAGTTCCCTCGTCACAATGTAGCCTCTAAAGTTGGGATTCACTATTGGTCTTCTACTTAGCAGTCTTGTCACACTTAAGCTTCAAAGTTTAACTGCACCTCCAAAAGGGTGATAAAAATAACCATAGAAATGTACAATTCACAGCGGTTATGAAAGAAGAAACAAAAGAGAATACGTACGGAGAAAGCTTGTGAACGTGCAAAAAATTAAAAGTGAATGAAAGTTTTATTATTTTTTCCTCTCTCTCTTGGAATGATGAGACGAGACAACGTTTCTAGAATTGCTGAAGTATTTTCTCCCTTTCCTCCGGTGGCTTTTTTCTCTTAATTTCTGCTCTGGCCCTCCCTTTCTAGGGCTCCTGGCTCGCTCGTGCTCAGGCGGCCGCACACCTGTGGAAGAGGAATGAATAGAGGGGGTGTGTGAACCATCTCGCTGCAGACTAACTGGCGCCACCGACCAAACTCAAGACATGCATGATCAACAACCCAAAACAAACCGCCGGGTCAGACAACACCCGCAGCCCGCAGCTCAGCCAAGCGCCAAGGAGGCAAATGCGGGCCGGGGAAGGCCAGGGGACGTGTTCTGGGGGGCTCTGCCCGCATCTCTCTTTGTGGGTGTCAGGATGCTCTGTTGGGGATGAGGGCTGGGAGAACTCGGGACACTGGGGCAGTTTCCACGCCCACGAGGGTGCCCTCTCCCAGAGATAGTGGAGACCAGCCGAGCCTGTCGGTCACAGCGAGAGGAACGCGGTGGGGACAGCAGCTGATGAGCCTCGGCAGAGTGACCCCCGAGTTGGAAAGCAAGTGCGGACTGCCTACCTAACTGGGTGGCAGAGAAGGTGTGTGTGTGTCCACGGGGATTTACGCTCCGAAATGCTGGGAGACAAAGATCGTCACGGTGCCTGGCACCAGCAGCCCCCGGGGACGTGCGACCCTTGTGATCCACCACCCAATTCGGGACCTGAGCGCTCACCTGGCCAGCGCGGCTCAGCGGCACAGAATGCTGTCGCTCTGCTTGTTCACGGCGCCGGCCTGGAACAGCAACCCAACACCAAGGGAAAGGTTAGGGTGTGCAGACAACGCCGTCGCCACCGCCCGGGAGCTGTCCTGGGAAACTAGGCAGACGCGCGGAGTCCCCACCCCAGCCCGAAGCTGGGGAAGCCCCCTGAGCTGCAAGGGACAGTCCTGGAAACGCAAGGCTCCGGGTCCCTACCGGCTTCTGCACCGGCACTTGCGATCACCTAGCCCAGCAGGCGGCTCCCAGAGGAGATCCGGGAAGCCGTTGCTATTCCCTGGGAGAAGGGAGACCACCCCTATCTGGCCGCCGGGCCACCCACCGCCCTCGCTATGCCCAGGGGTGGGGGTGGGGTGCCCGCCGAGGGTTCTCACCGGGTCAGTGTTGAGCGCGGTGAGCGGGGTCCGCGGCGGCGCGACCGGACAAGCCCCGGTCGGGTGGAGCGGTGGCGCGGGCGGTGGCGGCTGTCTCAGCAGAGCAGGGTGCGTCTCCAGCGCCAGCTGCAGGTCCAGGATGTAGTCGATAACGTGCTGCAGGATCTCCACTTTGCTGACTTTCTTGTTGGGCGGGATGGTGGGCACGAGCCTCCGCAGGCGGCTGTAGCAGTCGTTCATATCACACTGCAGGCACAGCGCCGGCTCGTCGGCCGCCGCCTCGGCCGCTTTGCAGCGAGCTGCCGCGGCGGCGGCGGCAGCGGCCGCCGAGCCACCCAGGCTGTGGCCATGCTCGGCCAGGCAGCGTAGCGCCAGCTCCCCGCCGCCGCAGCCCGACGGCGCCTTTCGGCCCGAGGGGCGCACCGGGCTCACCGCCTTCATCGCGCGCGTCCTGCGCGAGGAGACCCGCTGGGGGACTAGCGGTCGGTCGAGCGAGCTCCCGGTCTCCGCCCGCGATGCGCTTTGCTCCCCTCGCCTGTGCGTCCGGCGCGCTCGCAGCACTGGGCGACCCCGAGCCTCAGAAATCGACGGGAGAGGGTCGCTCGGGGTTTGGGCAAGCGGATCTCAGTTCCCAGTGAGCGACACTCGACCCACAGCAAAAGACAAGAAAAATCAAAAGCCCCGGAAGAAAAATAAAGTAGCCCACCCTGGTCTGAGTCGTTCCCTTCCGAGCTCCGACTCGGGTGGATCGCCGCCACGGCACTCCCCTAGCCGGCGACTACCCTCTCGAAGTAACGACTCCCAACCGCGCCTCCCCGCTCAACGCCTTCGCCGGGCTCGCGGCGCAGCGGTATTTGTAGAGCCGCGCGCCCTGGGGGCGGGGCCAGCGCGCGGGCCGGGTCGCCCGGAGAACCGGACTTGGGCGAGCTGAGCGCGCAGGCGGTGGCGCGGAGGGAGGTGGCGAGGGCGGGGCGCCGGGCAACCCGGGGGTGGGGGGTGGAGGTGGGTGGGAGGGTGAAATGGGCGGGGGGTCTGGAGTGACCAGCCAATCAGGAGGCCAGTGCCTCCTCGGGGAATGACGCTCGGGCCAATGGGAAGGGCACTCCATTCCGTCAACGCTGTGGGAGGGGATCTGAGAAAATGAGAACTGGGTGGGAGTCGAGCCAGGATGGAGAGTGCCCGAGGGAGGGGAAGAGACCGAGAGAAGTTCCTGCGAAGAACTAGGGGAATGTGCTGGCTGGAATGTGTTCTCCACGGGCCCAGGATGCTGAGAGACTATACGCCTTGCTCGCAGGTCTCCTGTCATTCTTCAAAGTGGGGCGCTCATCTCCCAGGCACCCGTTCCTAAGATTCTAGTGTCTTCAGAAGGACTTGCTTTCAAGAAGCACGTTGATTCATTTGTCTGTGTTAACCCCCCCCCCCCGCCCCCTTGCTATCATCATTCATCTTTCACAATTGCGGAGCCCATATGATTGAATGGAATGGGTAGCCTTTCCATATGTATGTATGCGTATATCTGCACGCTAAAGCTTAGCATAAGAAAAAATACAGGAAAAGAATGCCGGGAGCCGGATCAAATGCAGGGTTTCTAATGAAGGGAAATACACATAAAACAAGGTCCAAGATCGTGGTGGGTCTTTCTTAGACTTGTCCAGAAGCGGAAGTGGGCTTAAGACATGAAATTGCTTTGCGGGCGTTAAATAAGAGCACGCAAAAATTAAAAAATGCACGGACACGATCATGACATATAATATTAATCTGATTCATGTAAAATTTATACCTGTAACTTAAATTAAGCCGTTAATGGATGGCTTCACATATTTCAGGGCACCTTGCTTTGAATAAGGGGATAAGAATAGTTCAGAGGCTTCCCTGTATGGCTACAAAATATTAACATTCACATCTTCACATCTCCAGACCCTGTGCTCCTGCTTGGGCCCCACCCTGCTACAAGGCCTGTTCCTTTAAGGAGTGTGTGTGTGTGTGTGTGTGTGTGTGTGTGTGTGTGTGTGTGTGTTAGCAATTTAAGAAAAAAAAAAGTTCAAGTTTTCAAAAATAAGTGTTGCTTGTGTGTCCCCTTCAAGGAAAAAAAAGAGCTCTTTGGATAGCAAATGAGCATAAAACCCACGGCTCACAGGAAATGAATTTTGAGTGCTTTCCCCCTCTAAGCCCTCCCACCTTTAGACACGCTTGGAGATGAATTAACCCGAGAATTTTCTTCCTTCCCATACATGACATGGACTGGTGCCTTCATTTTCACTGATAATTGAAAGAGATGTGGTCTTCACTTCTTCTGGCCACCCCTGGATGGGCTTCACTCTCCGCCCGCCTGCCTCTCAGAACTCCAGTACCCGTACTAGGCAGGTACTTTGTTTTGCCATGTGTGTACATTATGACTCTTTGGCCACCATTTCCCCAGAGTGCATTCCTTTCTTCCCGATGAAATGGAGTGGACTATTAAATATCTGTTTCAAAGATGGATACAACAATCTTCCTCTCCCCAAATCCTTAGAGGCCACTGTCCCTAATTATTGGAAACAAATGACATTCTTGTTTGCTTTTGTGCGCAGTCTCCATCCATACTTGCCGAGAAAAATCAGTTACAAAATGCAAAGTAGTATTCTCTCCCAAAGTCCTATACATTCTTAATATAAACACACAGAGAGGGAAAGTGGGGGAGGGAGTGAAGGTAGACAAAAGCTAGTGTATTTGTTATCACCACATTTGATACTAGAAATACATACATACATACATACATATATACATACATACATACGCACACACACATGCATGCATGCATACATACATACGGGCATTCGATCAAGTTTTTGGAAAAACCTCACTATGTCCAGAGCACACAGAAGTATCAAAAGTTTATCTAGGCTAACCTTATCAACAATAAGACTAAAGTTGTAAATATGTGACAAGTCTTCTTGGATTTTGCTCTGTCTCAGAGATCCACACCTTACCTGTGGTGAACATCAGTTCTAGGACTTGTTGTAGGGCAGGGCTTAAAGGTAGAAGTATTGGGCTACCGTGATGCAGCTAGTTGGAAGGAGTGATCTTCACCAGGTGATGAAGAACGCCCAGGAAAAATGTGATCCCCGAACCCTGTTGATGCAGAAGGCAGAGACAGCTATTGTATGCTTCATTTTGAATCAGGAGGCATGAAGACAATAAAAAATTAAAGTGCTACATAAAACGGTAAACAATGGGATTACGGAATATGATCTTGTGCTTTTAGGCCTATGAAACCAAAGAACATCGGAGTTCATGCAGCGTGTTTTCTTTTTAAATTCTGAGGCATAGACACTTAGATGACAGAAAAACTGAAGTAAAAAAAAAAATTCTGTGTTCAGTAATTACCAGAAATTGAATTAACCTTGTAAGTTGTTACCGCTACTGCTTCAAGGAAGAAACATAGCTTGCCCATGACTCTTCCTTTTACAGAAAAATGTTATACTCATACTTGTAAAAATGAGGTAGGCTAGTCCAAACTCATTGCTATGGAAGTGCTAGAGACTCAGAATTTACCTCAGTGGAAATCCAGAATGAAACAATTCATTGATTATCAGGGAGCTTTGGTGATGAGGGACATGTATACACCCACTCGAGATGAAGAGATCTGCGGGCCTGTCTTGAGGGACGTTCTAAGTGTTCATCAGACCCTTGCTTAGATTTCTGGTATCCCAGTGTTTACAAGAGCACCCAAAAACATTGCACTATTTAGCTTGTAAGTCCTTTGAAGCCTGTATCCTTCTTTCTCTAAGGCCTGCAAGGGACCAGCAGGTTGGTCCAGACACACAGAAACACACGTGTTCCCATGTTCTACTTTCCTGTAGATGTTAGAAGTGGTCACAGGAGACACATGCATTCTTTTAGGGCACTGGGGACCATTATGGACTCTCTGGCTGCAATGTTCCTTGCTCCAAAAGAGTGAGCTAGGGAATTACAAGTCAAGTTCAAGGCTGTTCTTACTAGGCACTTGAACACTTACCTATGTCAGGGCTGCTGATGTGCGTCTAGGAAACACTGACAACTTCCTGGTGTACCTGGTCTTAGAAAAGTCAAATAAGAAGAGCACCTTACACATTGAATGTGAATAGGCAGATGTGGTCATCAAAAATGCCTTATTTGGGAGACTTTTTAAGGCATTAGAAGTAGGTGAGTTTTCAAAAGCATTTCTCATATTAAACCAGAAAAAAAAATGGGAAGGAAGAGATAGATTTTAGTGAATGCTGATAGTCTGCACTCACTTTAGGCTTCTCAGCTTAATACTTCATATTATTGAATACCTGTAGAACTTTTATATTTTATGTTTATGATACATACACTTCAGTAAATATATGCTGTGTGATCTCTCTACAAAAAATAATGTTAGGCCAGGCGTTGGTGGCGCATGCCTTTAATCCCAGCACTCGGGAGGCAGAGCCAGGCGGATCGCTGTGAGTTCGAGGCCAGCCTGGGCTACCAAGTGAGCTCCAGGAAAGGCGCAAAGCTACACAGAGAAACCCTGTCTCGAAAAACCAAAAAAAAAAAAAAATAAATAATAATAATAATAATAATAATAATAATAATAATAATAATAATGTTAAGTCCCGAGTACTATGTCTGGCATCTAACAAGTGAGCAATGTTAAAATTTATTGTTAATTTTGGCAAATATTATCTGCTAATCTCTGCTTTGTCTTTTTGTTCACTTAACAGTCTCTTTGGGGAGCAGTTGTTTATATTTTCATTTTCACAAAGTCGAGTTTATCAGTTTATTCTCTTAGGAATCTAAGCCATTTCTTTTCTAACACAAGGTAAGGAGGTTTTCTCCGATGTTTTCCTCTCAGTGTTCAGTATTTCCAGGCAGGGCAGCTTTCATGGTGTGCAACTTCTGAGCACTCAGAGGGTCACGGAATTGGAAGGGCCCCTGAGAGCTACAGCACTCTGCAGTTGCCATCTTGAAATTCTTAGCCATCATTTATCTACCTATCTATCTATCTATCTATCTGTCTGTCTGTCTGTCTGTCTGTCTGTCTGTCTGTCTGTCTGCCTGCCTGCCTGCCTGCCTGTCTGTCTGTCTATTTACTTTGGTTGTTTTTGAGACAGGGTCTCTTTAGCTGAGGCTGGCCTCAACTTCACGGTATGGCAGAGGCTAGACTTGAGCTCCTGATTATCCTGCTGGGTTTATAGCTCTGCATCACTATGCATGGCTGTTTTAGCAATATTTGAACACGAGAAAGTGAGTTTTGGTTTTGCACTGAAATCCACAAATTAGATATTTGGTCATTGTTTTCTGCAGTGTGTTTAAGTCTGTAATCTTTCTGTTTCATGTGTGGTACAAGATAATGAAAGAGGTCAACACTTTATGCATTCTGGTTCAATTGTTCTAGCCAAAGAGACCATCCTTTGTTCCTGGTATTGCCTTGACACTTTCTTCAAATCAGTGTTGTTCTACATTAGCCTTGAAACTCTGTTCCCTTGACCTGTTTGTTTTTATGCCACAACCACATTGTTTTGATCAGGGAATCTTTATGATGAGCCTGGAAAGCAGCTAGTGTTGGATAATATGATCTTCTAATGCATTTTGGTTTGGGGCTGTCCTGGCTGGGTACATTGCATTTCCAATTGACTTTTAGAATCCATTTTTGAAGTTCTTTCCAGAAGAGTTATATAAAAAACATACAAGGACTGAAAGTGACTCAGAGATAGGTAGAGAACTTGCCTCTCATGGATAACACACACACACACACACACACATACACACACACACACACACACCTATACCAAGGTAAAGTAAAGTGCTCTCAAAACTCAATAATAAGAACCTGCGAAGTGTTGGGATTATGCAGAGAAACTGGAACTATCCGATACCGCTGGTGGGAATGTGAGTGACCATGAAGAAATGAAGAGGTGGGAGAAGGGTGGATATGCCC